GGAGAGGGGGAGGCCGGGGGCGCCTCCTGTTCATCTCGCTGGCAGAGCCCGGCACGGGACGCCTGGGCTCCTCCCCCTTCCCGCCCATTGTACCCGCCCTGCTCACAGGACCCCCGCCTCCCGCTTGATAAAAGATGAGGAGGTGGGTGCCAGAAAAAGCAGCTCTGTGTCTGCAGGGGCTTCCGGAAAAGGGGCATCTTCGTGCAGGCACCGCTGGGATTCGAACCCAGGATCTCCTGTTTACTAGACAGGCGCTTTAACCAACTAAGCCACGGCGCCACTGTACCGGCCCAGACACCGGCTTCTGCAGCTTCCTGTTGGCAGTGTGGGGCGCCCCATGGTGCTTCTGAAAGAGGAGGCAACTTCTGGGGGAAGCAGTTCTGCCCTCATGCACCCCTCCAAACTGAGGGTTCACGGCCTGGGTTGAATTGGGAGGTCGATCCAGAATAACCGTCCCCTCTCCCAGACACAGCACCAGGATCCAGCCTTGCTCTGATCCCCGTCCTTCCCCCTCCCCCGCCAATACAGCACCAGGATCCAGCCTTGCTCAAACGCCCCCCAAACCCAGCACCAGGATCCGGCCTTGCTCTGATATCCCCTCCCCCACCACAGCCGAGAATCCAGCCTTGCTCTGAGCCCCTCACCACAGTATCAAGATCTGGCCTTGCTCTGACTCCACCCCTTCTCACCTCAGGAAACAGCACCAGGATCCAGCCTTGCTCTGATTCTGCTCCCCCCGCCCCAGGAAACAGCACTCTGATCTGGTCTTGTTCTTGTTTCCCCCCCAAGCTCCACCCAGAGCTGGCTCTGTCTCAGGGGAGTTATGGGGTGGGTGGTGGTCTCTGCCTAGCCCAGAGCTTGTCCTCTTCGCCTGTGGCTGGCAGCAGTATGTGTGCTGCCCTTGGAAGTCCCCACACCTCACCCCTGCCCTGATGTCCCCAGGCTTTGAATGGGGCATTTGTCTAAGCCCAGGGGCCAGGCACTGGAATCCCACTTCTGGCACCACAGAGCCCCTGTTCCTTGGCAG